ATCAGCTGCTCTCAACAACCCTGAGTTCAGAATAGCAGCAAGGGAGGGGATATAAACTCTAGTTACCCAGAAATTGACAAGACTATGGTAGAGACACTTGAATTGTACACAGGAAAAGTGAAAATCGCTATGTAGCTTTAGTAGTTAAAAGTAGTTCAGAGCTCAGCTAGGCTTACCTCCCATCTCCACCACTCTGCTGTGTGACTTTGACCAAGTTACTTAACCTCCCTGTGTCTCAGATTTCTCATGCTTGTAATGCGACTGGTGCAAACACGTAGCTCGTCAGGGATAAGCGAGCTATTAAGCGTACGATTTTTAGTATAGCACCAATGACACATAAATGCCCAAGCACATATTTAAATAATAGCTTTTTGTATTTATTTTTTTAATGTTTATTTTCTAAAGCTTTATTCACTTTTCAGAGATGGAGAGAGACAGAGCATGAATGGCAGAGGGGCAGAGAGAGAGGGAGACACAGAATCCGAAGCGGGCTCCAAGCTGTCAGCACACAGCCTGATGCCGGGCTCGAACTCGCAGACCGTGAGATCATGACCTGAGCCAGAGTTGGTGCTCGACCGACTGAGCAACCCAGGCGCCCCTTGAACATTAGCTTTTTACCATCATTATTCGGCGAGTGCCTGCCACTTAAATCTATCATTGCTTCATCGCTACCTTCCGCTGGCCCTCCACGTCTCATACAACCAGTTGTGTCCTCCTTCCCCGCTAACAGAGTGGCCATCTCTCCTCCTGTCACTCTCCCCTCCAGCGCCCACTGTGGCCCGCCGTTTTTAAGCTGAGCTCCCAGCCTAGATTTTCTAAAACGAAATGTGTACCTTTCATAAGGGGGCAAAGAACAACAAAGGTTGTTTTAAAGACAAATATAGCAGAAAATCAAAGTATGTATAAATCAGGACATACTGTTAAGCCTGTGCAGCTTCGCATTCCAAATGCTGATTTTGTAGCTGAAGGTCTCTATGCCATTTAAGTTTTCCTTTTTTCAGCCCAACCCCGACCCTCACTCATTCCACCTGCTCCCGATTTCAAGTGGTCCCTCTTACCTAAAAGTTAACTCAAATTGCTTAACCTGATGGCCAAAGATCTCTGTGCTCTGTCCCAGGCCTCCCTTTCCACCACCTATCAATGGACAGCTAACACTGCTTCAGACTCACCGTCTGTTGTCTGCCCTGGCTGTTCTCACTCTGGGTCTCCCGGACTTCCAGAGCTTTTACTGAAAGCTGCAGTCTATTGCCTGTCTCCTAGAGTCTGGCTTGGGCCAACAGAATATGGCAGCAGTGACGCTATGCCTCTTCTGAGTCCAATCTTTTTTTTTTTTTTTTATTGTGAGGCTTAATTTATTTATTTTGGGAGAGAGAGAGAAGGAGAGGGAGGGAGGGGCAGAGAGAGAGGGCGACACAGAATCTGAAGCAGGCTCCAGGGTCCGAGCTGTCAGCACAGAGCCCGATGCGGGGCTCAAACCCACAAACTGTGAGATCATGACCTGAGGTGAAGTCAGATGCTCAACCGACGGAGCCACCCAGGGGCCCCTCTTTAACTTTATTTTAAAAGGGACTTTCAGGGCGCCTGGGTGGCGCAGTCGGTTAAGCGTCCGACTTCAGCCAGGTCACGATCTCGCGGTCCGTGGGTTCGAGCCCGGCTTCAGGCTCTGGGCTGATGGCTCACAGCCTGGAGCCTGTTTCCGATTCTGTGTCTCCTTCTCTCTGCCCCTCCCCCGTT